TCCCCTAGCCTGTCTAGAGCTCTTTCAATACATTCGTTAATTTGAAAAGAAGAGAAAGTTCCAGACAAGCATTCTCTCCATAGCCTCATGCCTGGCCCCTGCATAGCTACAACCCTCCTGCACAATACTATAGGCCATGGACTGGTTCGCCCCTCAGGAGTCAGGCATGCAGACAGTAACCTTATACGTTCATTTTCAAATTTTATTCATTTATTTAAGACTCAGAAGCAGAGCTCCCATCAGCTGGCTCACTCTCCATACACCGTCAGAGGCCACAGGGCTGGAGCCAGGCCCGTTTTTCCACATGGATCCTACCCTGTCAGCAGGGGATGTTCAGAACAGCACTGGGCTGCTCTGCTAGGTCAGGTCGCTCCTAACTCCCAAGCTCATCTGCCTGAAAGGAAAACAGACCATCAAACATGTCACTGGGGGCGACTAAGGAAGGGTGCAAAGTGTGACAACTGACCAAGTTCACCTGGCAGGGGGCGGGGCCCCAGCCCTGCAGACCACCAGGGACTGGGTTAGCTGCGCCCTCCCTAGCAACCGGGCAGCAGTGTGAGGCCTGCACCTGAGGCAGCCTGGAGAGCACAGGAATGAATGTAACACGGTTTGTGGCAAAGTCCACGAGGGTGCATTTTCTCAGAAGGATTTGACCTTAAAGTCCCTTTGACCTCAGAGAGAACTGGACTGAGCTTGGTTTCCCCTGGGCTGGGAAGCTAGAACAAAACTCAATTTGTTCCGGAAGCTGAGACTGCAGAAGCTTGCTTTCTGGGCAAAGTCCCTCAACGGCCACTGCTGGGCAGCCCACCCCCGCGGGTCCCTGGAGCTCCAGGCTCCTAGGGCCTGACACATGGCTCTTGTTTGCCAAGGACAGCTGGCAGACTGGAAAGGACCAAGCCCAGTGGCAGGCACTGATCCACATGGACTGACAGGGGATATGAGGGCTGCAAAGCAGGCGGTCACCATGGCTCTTGATGATGCCTGGGCTTGGGGTTCAGAGGGCAGGATGGCCTACAATAAGCAACGGACTACAGCATAGGATGCGGTGCACTACAGAACTAAGGGCTGCCGACCTTCCTGCGGCCTTCCTCACGCTGCAGTCATGTGATGGAATTTCACCCTAGTGAGGAATGTACATTCTATATCTGATTTTCCTGATGCTTATGAGCAAAGTGCTAGGTCACTGGGAGAATTGATTCTGTGGCCTGGTTGGCAGCAACAGCGAAAAGCAGCCTGGGGAACTGGATGTCATTGGCATCCTTGCTCCAATAATTGCTCACACTGAAAACTAATCACTTAAAATATTAAAGCAGAAGGTGCTCAGATGCACAAGCAGAAAGGCTCAAACGTGGTTAGTACAAGGAGTCTTACCCAACTCTGAGAACACTGATGTTAAGTAGCTGGTGAGCTAACATTGCATGGCAAATGAGCACAAGCAGATAGCCTGGGGTTCAAGTTTGGGGTCAGCCAATTACTCGCTGGGACCTGAGGACAGGTTTCTTTGTATATATAGCTCAGTGCCTGCAGCCTGCCAAGCACTGTCGATCAACTTTGCTGGTATTGGCAGCTCCTTTCCCATCAGGGATGATTCACTTGTCTGGCCCTCTGATGATGGTCAAAATGAGCTCAAACCACACAAGTCTTCCACAGGGAGTGGCCTCCTCCTCCTCACCCGGGAGGCAGCAGGAAGCAGAGCCCAGAGCTGGCTCTACTAGCTGTAAGGTCAAGACAGAGGTCTCCCAAGGGGCCTAGCAACTTGTGCTGAAAGCCCAAGGAGACAATGCTGATGCCGCGCAGTGGACAGTATCTGTTACCCATCGCCCATTGCGCAGACCCAGCTGTCACTTCTCTGGCTCAGCAGCCATTGAGGATGCACAGCCCGAGGGTGAGGTAGCTTCCAGCATCCCACGGTGGGATCCAACGTTACACATGGAGAAAAACTCGGAGCTGACTGGGACTCTTTTTTTGGTTTTGCTTTTTTTCATTTTGGAAACCACTTGACACATGAAAAAAACATTATAAATTTTATTATCAGAAACAAAGTTACTTTTTCAAAAGGAAGCTTTCAGTGGCAAACAGCAGGGAGTCCGGATGAGCATGTAGGGTCCACCAGCCATGGCCTGGGCCTGCTCTGGTACTGTCTCCCTCAGCTCCCGGGCACACCCGTGGCACTGCAGACACGGTGCTGCTCCTAGCCTGGGTCCTATCTTCAGATTGCCATCCCCCAGGTTTGCACCCCTTCCTTACAGTCACCCTCTACTGAGCACCTGAACATTTGCTTCATTAGCCACACAACAGAAGTAATTGTGTGAGTCTCTCTCCTCTGCTCAGCAACAGACTCTTCTTCCCAGAGCACCTGGCCCGCTGCTTTGCAGGAATGGGCAGGGTGTAGCTCTACCGACAGACACGATGTGGACAGAACCGACAGCTGACTAGAGTCACTAGGAGCTACAAGGACCTCTTCCAAGGGCTTTGTGACAACCCTTTGGGGGTCACCGCTTTCCTGGATACAACAGGATATATTGCTCCACAAAGTGCTCCTTTCTAAGAGAGGTATACTTCCTTATTTTGTACTTACATTTTTTTCTATTTTTTTTTTCACTTCTTGTGCTTACATTCTTAAGCTAAAGAAGCACCATTTATCAATAAATAGCAGTTATCTAAAAATGGAGCTGTCATCAGAAAACAAATATTAAGAGATAAATGACAAATGGGAAGAATAATGAGTACCTGCACGTCAACGAGAAAAACATTAATGAACAGGACAAAGGGGCAAAGGTTGCTCACAAAGGAACAAATCACATGCATGATAAGAGGTAACCAGTTTGAACTTCCCTACAATAAAGCCCATGTGCATGAGAGGATGACAGAAGCCCTGGGCTTGAGATGGACAAGAGAAGATACTGCTCAGCTCCAGGGAGGGAAGGACCCGGGCTTGCAGGCAGCTGTAATTTTGGAGAAACAACTTAGCAAAAGGTTTCAAGTCTTAAAAGTATCCAATTCATTTGCTCACCCTCATTGTACTGGCAGCACTTCATCCTAAGGAAAACATTTCAATCTTTTATATGGGCCATGCGAGAGTAGCCTAGTGACTAAATCCTCGCCTTGCATGCGCTGGGATCCCATATGGGTGTCGGTTCGTGTTCTGGCCTCTCCATTTCCCTTCCAGCCCCCTGCTTGTGGCGTGGAAAAGCAGTCTAGGACAGTCCAAAGCCGTGGGACCCTGCCCGTGGGGGAGATCCTGGCTTCAGATTGGTTCAGTTTTGGCTGTTGCAGCCACTCCTGGAGCGAACCAATGGACGGAAGATTTCTCTCTCTGTCTCTCCTCTCTGTATATTTGCCTTTCCGATAAAAATAAATTTAAAAAAGCTTTTGTATAAGCAATAACACGCATAAGCATTAAAATCTAGAAATAACACAGACAAGCCAAAATACTAAAAAAAAAAAAAGCTGCAACACTATACTGATTCAACACCATCATTAAGGGTGTATTTTGATAAACAGCCATTGTCATTGCAGGGCAAGGCTCATAAGGGCAGAGTTTAAACCGTGAGTGTCCCAGCTGGGGGCTGGCACCTTGCACGAGAAGATCCTTGCTGTTTTACTGCAGTGCCTGTACTGTCAATTCTCACTGGAAGGACAATGGCCTAAGTGCTCCCTGTTTCCCTTTAATCCTGACAACAACCTGAGGAGGTCAATACTTTTCCCATCCCATTTACAGATAGGAAAATTGAAGTGCAGCGGGTCAAGCCATACTCCCAAAGCAGAGCCCAGATCCAATTACCAATGTTTGACCCAGAACAGCGTTCTCTGTGTACCCATCAAGTATTTTTAGTGCCTCCTTCGCGCGGTGGTGCCTGCTAAGAAGGCTCAGGGCTCCCCTGGAGCTGTCCCTGTAATCATCTCTTACACTGGAAGTCACCCCCCACCCCGCCCGCCCACTCAGCTCACAGCTGCAACCTACCCCTCTAGTCTCTCACGGTACTTATCAGCAAAGGTTCATCACACTCCCTTCCCCCGCCCCCGTACACCTGCTCCTTCCACTAGGCCCCTGCTTTTATCCTTTCTGTTCACCTAACAGCCTTTTGAAAAGTTCCCAGCACAAACCAGGAGCTCCGGCAGCATCTGAGAGCAAAATTCTGAAAACAGCCTGAGGGCGGGCGGTCTGGCGTGTTCGGGTACCTGCGTCCCACAGCACCCACTTCCCACTCCGGGTCCCCCTTCCTGGTAATGAGGCCCCCGAAACAGCAGTGATGGCTCTGGTTGTTATGTCCCAGGTACCCGCGTGGGAGATTGAAACTGAGTTCCCAGCCCCCCAGCTTCAGTTCACCCACATGACCCAATCCTATGTGAAAACGTGGTGCCTTATGAGAAAAGTGCTTGCTAACTAACCTCTTCTAGTAACGCAGTGCACGCACAGCCAGTCCTTTTTGCGGTAGCCCGCATGAAGCTGTCTTCCAGTACAAACACAACCACAAACTGGAGGGGCAGGGCTGTGGATTTTAAAGACCATTTTCATCACGCCCCACTGTTCTGCGGTGGTTAGCTACTGCCTACGGCAAGCACACGCACGCTGCGCCCACCCGCCGCTGCGGGCTTGGGGAACACGCCCACCTAGCAACAGCACTGCGCTACGCCTTTAACTCCGGGGTGGGGGGTGCCGCACAACCCGCGCGCCCCCGGCTCCATCCGCGGCACCAGCGGCAGTCGTCACCTGTAAGGCGAGCATCCCGCCACGGGCCATGGAGCCCGGCGCCTATTGGACAGCACGGAAAGGCTGCAGCCTGGCTGCCCGGCACGGCGGGGGCGGCAGACCCCGGCACCCTGCGCCCGGCCACGTCCCTGCCCTAGGGCGTGGGCCTGACTGAAGTCCAGCTTCGGCAACACGCCCAAGCCACCGCGGGGACAGCGACCAGGTGACTCCCGGAAACCCCTGCTTCCGTGTGTCCAGCCAGCGGCGTCGCTTCCACCTGCCGCTGCGTCCCAGGCAGGCACTGGCCATGGCGCTGGCTGCCGCCGCGGCCGCCGCGGCCGCCGGAGTGAGCCAGGCAGCGGTGCTAGGTTTCCTGCAAGAGCGGGGCGGGAAGGTGCGCAACTCGGAGCTGCTGAGCCGTTTCAAGCCGCTGCTGGAGGCCGGCGACCCGCATGGCCGCGCTGCGCGCAGGGATCGCTTCAAGCAGTTCGTCAACGACGTGGCCGTGGTGAAGGAGCTGGACGGTGTCAAGTTCGTGGTGCTAAGAAAGAAGCCCCGGCGCCCGGTGGGATCCGAGTCCCTGTCCCTGCCCCTGCGCATCGCAGCGCCGCCGTCGAGCGCCCTCTCCGCAGCCCCGGGAGAAGGCGCTGCTCTTGCAGCTCAATCCCCGGCCCCCGTGCAGCAGGACCCGGCGGGGCAGCCCACGCCACAGGATGCCCCCGGGGCTCCGGCCCCTGCGTCCAGTCCGCCCCCTGGGGAGTCGCCGGTAGACTCGGTCCACGGCCCCGCAGACCCCCGACCTCCAGCCTTGGAGCCTGCCCAGCCCTCAGAGGGACCCTGTGCGGATGCGGCCCCGCAACCCGAGGCGCCGTCGGAGCCATCCTCAGCCCGCACGGAAGCGCTCACCCCGAGCCCGGGCTCGGGACTGCCACCTCCGGCCCCGCGCGCGCCACCACCGCCGAAGCCCTGCATGCTGCCGGTGCGCTGCGTGCCGGGCCCCGCTGCGCTCCGCATCCGGGCTGAGGACCAGGGCCTGCGCCGGCAGCTGTCGGAAGAGCCCGGCCCACGGAGCTCCCCGCCTCTGCTGAGGCGGCTCTCGGTGGAGGAGTCCGGCCTGGGCCTGGGCCTGGGCCCTGGTCGCTCCCCGCACCTGCGGCGCCTGTCGCGCGCAGGTCCCCGCCTGCTGCTGAGCCCCGACACCGAGGAGGTGCCCGCCGCGCCGCCGCCCTCTGCCGTGCCCCTGGAGCCGGCTGAGCACGAGTGGCTCGTGCGAACGGCCGGTGGCCGCTGGACCCACCAGCTGCACGGGCTGCTGCTGCGTGACCGCGGCCTGGCGGCCAAGCGCGACTTCATCTCGGGCTACACCGCCCTGCACTGGGCTGCCAAGAGCGGCGACCACGAAATGGCGCTGCAGCTGGTGGAGGTGGCGCGGCGCGGCGGCGCGCCCGTGGACGTGAACGCGCGCTCGCACGGCGGCTACACGCCGCTGCACCTAGCCGCCCTGCACGGCCACGAGGATGCCGCCGTGCTGCTGGTCGTGCGCCTCGGGGCGCAGGTGCACGTGCGCGACCACAGCGGCCGGAGGGCTTACCAGTATCTGCGGCCCGGCTCCTCGTACGCGCTGCGGCGTCTGTTGGGCGACCCGCGCCTGCGAGGCGCCGAGTCCGATGCCAGCGCCGTCGGGGGCGGCAGCCTGGCAGCCCGACGCCCGGTGCAGGTGGCCGCCACCATCCTGGGCTCCACCACCAGCGCGTTCCTGGGCGTGCTGGCCGACGACCTGGTGCTTCAGGATCTGGCCCGCGGCCTGAGGAAGTCCAGTTCCTTCAGCAAGTTCCTGGGCGCCTCGCCCATGGCTCCGCGCAAGAAGGCCAAGGTCCGTGCGGGGCTGCCAGCCTTCGCGGACGCCGCTCGCCGCCCAGCCCCGGGGCTGTTGGCAGGCCTCGTGCCCAGCGTGCCACCCACCACCTGACGGCCGCCGGGGGCTTGGGCCTGGCCCAGTCCGAGGCCCCACTTGACACCGTGGCCCCTACCGGCACCCTTCCCAACTTGGTCCAGCAGGGCCCAGCCACGTTGTCCGCCTAGAGGGGCCTCCGCCCCCCGGGACTCGTGAGAACCTTCTCCACAGAAACCCACAGTCCGTTCCCGCCTATTTTGACTTCCGGGTCGAGGGTCAGGGGCAGCAGCTGGTCTGGTCCCTGAAGGCGGGAATTCCTGACTCCCCCTCCCCCGCGCGCCGGAAGTTGGCCAGGGTCGCGAGATGTCAGGCTGGCAACTTCCGGATTCGGAAGGTTTTTATTTTTGGTTTTTTTATTTTTCGGTAATGTGATGCTTTTATTGTGCTTTGCACATTAAAATGAGGTACAGTCACTTTCATAATTACCTTTCGGGATTCTATTTTTTCATTCTTAGGCCAAGTGCTCTTTCTCAATATTTTGCTAAGTAGTTTGGAATCCTACTTTCCAAAAAGAGCAATCTACAGGTCCGCTCCGGCCATTGCGGCCGCCTGGGGAGTGAATCAAGGGACAGATCTTCCTCTCTATGTATCTGACTTTCCAATAAAAAAATAAAATTCTTTTAAAAATAAATAAATGAAAGCGATCTGAAGGAAATTAGCCCCAGTCAACAAAACTCTTTTTAAGAAAATGTATCTACCTCATTTTAGGTAATCACAATTCTGTAAAAATCTTGAGCCCACAGAATAACCGTTGTGACCCCAACGAATGTAAAGAATTTAAATAATAGGAAACGAGCACATCTTGGGGCAGCGGTTCACAAGGAGAGGGAAGAGAGATTTTAGCCAAATTTGCTCTGCGGTGGACTTTGTGCTGTTTGGGCACTCATGGCTGTTTTGATCTGACATGAATTATGTAAACATCAGGAGTTGTGAATGGCCCCTGGGTGCTGTTTCCAAACCTGTGGTTTTTACACCTGAGCCTTGGTACCGCAAGTGGGTTGATCGAAGATTCAGTTTAACTCCCTGATTAAATAGTAGTGCACCCATCCAGAAGCGAGTGTTTCATGTGAAAGTTCTGCAGAGGCAAGAGGCACCTTACCCGAGCATTCCCAGCCAGCTGCTGCAGAGTCACCTGTGAGCAGCTCAGTGGGCTAGCCTGGCCTCTCTGCGCCTTGCTGCCCACGTGCACAGCTGGGTGGCTGTTGCTCAAATCACCCTGGTCCTGCACAATGTGGTTGTAACAGCTTTTTTTTTTTTTTTTATCTGTTTCAGAAATGTGAAAAGGTATTATTGGTTCAGCTAACATGTTTATTTCATGTGATAATCCTCTGCTTTTGCAAATTACGTTTGCATGTCATTAGTTCCACCAGTTTTTATTGCACAGGGTAATGGGGCTTCCCCTCCCTCCGGTATTATCAAGTGAGCTTGAAATTTATGAAATGTTTCAATTTAAGCAATGAAATAAACATCCCCTGTTTCTGTCTTAGTGACTTTACTTCCCTGCCAGTGTTTTCTGTTTTTCTTTTCTTACTGCATATTCTCCTCTTTCAAGCACTGGCATAAGGAAGGAGGCTGGAGTGAGCCACACCTGGAAACCCTAGCCGAGAAACTAGAGACATATAGGCCTGGCTCTGACCCTTCCTCAAAACTCCAGCTTGTCTGCATAAATTATTTTAAAATGCAAATGACATCTTCTGCTTCAGGGGAAAAATTGTGGGAGGCTATAATTATAGCCATGTGAGGAGCTGAAGATCCAGGAGACAGAATGAAATGCTAGAGATTTTCAGTGTGAAAGGGGCGGCCTGCTTGAGGCAGGACCACACGGTGTGCAGACGCAGGCGCGACCTGCCCTGAGTAAAATGTGCTCCAGCGAGGTGTGATGACAGTAACTGACCTCAAGGGCCAGCACAGTGCGAGCCTTTAGCCCAAGTGGCAGGTCAGTCAGCCTGCAGGCCAGGTGTTAGAAGCTGCTGTTAAGGGTTGGGCACTGTGGCATGCAAGTTCAGCTACTGCTTATGACACCTGCAAGCTACATTCAAGTCACCATCTTCGCTTTCCAGCCAGCTCTCTGTCAGCTCCTGCCACCTATATAACAGACAGGGATGGAGCTCCGTCGAGGCTTATGGCTGTTGCAGTCATTTGGAGAGTGAGCCTCCAAAAGCCAAGGGGTGGGTGATGCAGCTTTGGCTGTTGAGGATATTTCTGGAATGAAACAGTGGCTGGAAAAGTGACTCCCACTCCCCCTTCCCCTTTTTCCTCTCACTCTCTCTCCCTTCCGCCTCCTTCTAGGTCATTCTACCTTTCGAATAAATCTTTGCTCTATCCCTGGGTTCTGTGTGCGACGCCCCTTACTTAAAGCAGCAGCAGCCACATCTTTCAGGACCAACATCCTGGGCCCATCACAGAGACCTAAGCCCCTGCCATGATAAAGTGGAGCCTGCCCAAGACCCATATCCCCCCACTGTGTTTTTGGTCCTTTCCTTGAAGACACTGTTTGGCCATTCAAGATGGCCTCTGCCTTGGTGTGCCAGCTGCCACGCAGCGCCCCAAACTGGGGCCTGCAAAGCAGGAGTGGGTGGTCTTCTGGGAGAGACAGAGATCCAGACCTTGCCTAAGCTGGAGGTAAAGCTCCCACTATGGGGTCTTTATAATGACTTGCATTCACTTATGATTTGAGACAGTGTTAGTTCACTCCCTGAATGCCAGCCACGGCTGGCTGGCTGGCTGGCTGGCTGGCTATCCTATCGAGCTGGGTTGGAATGCAATCAAATTCTCCCGCGTTGGTGGCAGGAACCCAAATTCCTTCAGCTGTCACCTGCTGCCTCCCAGGAGGCTGCAGGCCACAGCCAGAGCAGGGCTGCGAACGCCGCACCCCCCTTTCCTGAACAGGGCTCTGGGGAGAGACTGCTGTGTAACACGTGCCCACCACCACCACCACCACCACCGGCCTTGGGCCTGAATTCCCTGAAGCGGGCACGCACCGACCGCAGGGCACTTTGTTCCTGACCCGGGATGCTCGGTACCGGCAGGATGTTCAAGCTGCGGTGTGGGGAACAGTGCTTTCCCTCTTCTGGTTCCAAGTCACAGTCGGAAGGTAAAAGGTACACTAATTACACCCGCGTTCCCGAACGCCGCGGGGGCGGCCGCGAGCCGCGGGGAGGAGGCTGCGCAGTTCTCCTGCCGGTTACCCGGCAACGCGCGATCCGGTAAAGGAGTTGGGGGAAGATGGAGGTGGAGGAGAAAAGGGGTGGCTGAAGGAGCTGGAGGGGGCACAAGCCCCTAATCAAGACATCCTTTCAATTCTGTTTTCCACCCCCTGCCCCTCCACCCCGCAAGGCTCTTTGTGACCCTACTGCCTGAGAAAGGGGCACCGGGAGGCCCTGCCCTGCCGTCCTCATCAGCCCACCAACAAGCAAGTGAGCCTCTCGCCCACTCACCCCCCCCCCAGCCCCCAGAATTTCTTTCCAGCGGAAGCGAAAAGCTCAGCTTCAACCGGGGCGCTGCTCGGCACGTGCGTGGGGCTTGTGCCGGGGGGTCCTGGCTGCAGCGAGGTGGGCCGCACGGACAGCAGTGCCCCCTGCTGGCAGTGCCTCGGACCCCCGGCCGGGCGAAGGTGCCCGCATGAACAGCTGTGAGGAGCTCGCCCTTGCTTGGGCTGGGGGCGATGGGCAGAGAATGACCTTTAAGGAAGTGGGCAGCGGCTCCCCGCAGGAGCCTCACCCTACTATTCAATCAGCTCAGAGCGATGCAAAGCCCTGCTAATCCGGAAGATAGCAGAGGCGCCCGGGCCCCTAACCCCAACACAGATCAGGACTGGAATGTGCCTGTTCTGCCAGTCAATTCCCACTGGCCGAAGGGACAACCCTCCGCGTGCCTCTGGGATGATCTTTAACTGGACAAGTAAGAGTGGCGGTGATTGCACGGGGCAGAAAGCCAGCAAAGTGCACTGTAAGGGAGTCGACCTGGGAGGCAGGCCTGGCCCGGGCACAGGACGCACAGAAGCTCAGCGCCCTGGAACCCGCTTCCAGGGGCGCAGCAGGAACCTCCTGAGCAATCTTTCTTAAAGGACACAATGCGGGCATTGTTCGATGCTCAGCAGCGCCACTGTCCCCACGAATGCTTCTCGCCTGAATGCCGCCAACGCTAATGCCCAACCAGTTGTATGTACTTGGTGACAGAACGTGTCAGGAAAGCAGTCCCTTCTCACTCTGGCACCCGCCGGTGTGACACATCCGCGTGCCTTTCACTGTGCCCAGCACCAGTGGAAACACTGCCCGTCTACAGGAGGGTGCTGCTCCCTGGTGTTTGCTGATGCAAGTACCCAAGCCCATTGTCTTATGTTTACCCAGGTACCCAGGGCTCATGCACAAATGGAGGAAGAAGGCCGCCTGTCTGCTAGTGCTCATCAGCCTTTGGGGGCACCCACCCACACCTTCCTGTCTAGGCCCTCTCCCACCCCAGTAGGGTCTCCTAAAGGGAGTAGCAATACACTCAAGGCTAGGTGTTCAAGTATATGTCGGACACCCATGGCAAGGCAGGACTCCCACATTCACTGCTGAAGCTGGACCTCTGGTCAAGACCAGCTCAGGTGACCTGCACCCTGCTGGTGGCCACAAGGTGGGCACCAAACGAGGGAGGGATCAGCAGGCCAGGGGGGCTGAGGGCCCCTCCCTCTTCCAGCCAGGCCCTCTTCCACCTGCAGACAGGACTGAAGCCTCCATATTGTCAACAAGGCCCCGCCCCCGGCTTCCCTTCTTGTGCCGCACACAACACCTCTCTGATCATTTTTATTGGAAAAGTAAACCACATTCCGCACCTGCACTGCTCCTCTGACTTCTGTCCCAGGAAAGAGGCAGGCAGCAGTTTCAAAGAATGATAAGTTAATTACCCAAAGACACACATCACTCGCCTGAGGATCCTGGGAAGCCCCATCTGGGTCCACCCCACCCCTAGAGGGAAAAAAAAAAACACCGAATATTCCTGCATTGCCCCAGCCCCATGGGGGAGAGGTGTGGCGGTGCTCCCCACACTGGAAGGTAACTAGACCAGGGGCCGGGGGGAGGGCGGTGGGTCCCAAGTATAGGTCCCAGAAAGCCAAGCCAGTCTGGGAGACAGGGGACAACGGCCAAGGTCTCTCCCGATGGCTTCCAGCTGGTCCTGAAGGAAGCGGATGCGCTCGTCCAGGCTGCGCTGCTGGGCCAGCACAGCAGCCTTGCCTGCCAGCAGGGCACGGTAGGAGCACAGGTGCTCAGCAGGCAGTGCCTGCTGTAGCAGTTCACGCAGGGCCCGCTCCCGCCGTGCCACGTGGTCCTTCAGCTCCTTGGCATCCTCTTGCTGCCGCTGCAGGAGCCGCAGGCGCTGCAGCACCGAGGCCTGGAAGGGGCAGGGAGAGTACCCGGTGATCACAGCCAGTGCCACTCAGATCTCCCACCCAGCACTCCCCCAATAGGAAGGCCCACCACCCCACCCGCCTTACATGCTCTTCAGGGTCGCCACTGGAGCCTGAACGGGACAGGGCACAGTGCACGCGGGCCAGGCGACTGCCCAGCAGCAGCAGCAGACCCAGCACACGCTCCAGGTCAGCCATGAACCGGCGGAAACGCTCAAGCTCCCGAGGAGCACAGGCCTGGCCCACCATGGCCTCCAGGGCCGCCTGGCTGCTGGCCCACTGGTCAGCCACCTGCTGCAGCCGCTCCTGCTCGGCGCGAAGTTCTTCAAGCATGCTTTGGAGGAGGTCAGCTAGCTCCGCCTGCAGGGAGGGTCCAGGACTTGTGGGCAGAGGTGCCTGGCTCTTGCCCTAGCAGTCTCTACCAGCTAGCCTCACTTCCCCCGGCACTCACTTTCTTGGCCTGAACACTGCTGTGGGGTGCAGGTAGGGCCTGGTCACAGAGCTGGTCAGGCACAGGTGGTGCCTCCTGCTGGGAGGCTGGCAGGAGCTCCATGAAGCAGATTTGATTGGACCTGGGGAGCGAGCCGGAGTGCCCTAAGTGATCCCTGCCACACCATGCAGGGGCTTAGAGCCACACACTCCCCATGCACCCCCCAAGTCCCTGGCGCCCCTCACTCACCCTGAGTCAGAAGCCTGCCGCTCAGTCTCCCCAGCTGTGGACCTCATGGCAGCCCAGATCTCAGCCACGGGGATCAGCCCATCCAGCAGGCCCAGGGGTGGCTCGGGGCTGGGCTGGGAGGCCAGAGTGTCGCTCAGAGAGGGATCCAGCCTGGCCAGCTCCTGAGCCAGCTCCTCGAGGCGCTGATTGGGCCATGTGGGCCCAGAACCAGGCCGGTCAATAGCCCAGGCTAGGGCACCATGCTGCTGATGAGGCCTTTGGGAATCACCGTCTCTGGGGCTGCCAGTGGGGAAGGGCTTGAGGGGATCACTCCCCACGGCTGCGGGGGGCTCCGGGGGCAATAGTTCAGGCATGTCACCAGCTGAGATGTCACCGTTTGCAGTCCCAGTGGTGCCATCGTCTGTGGTCCTGGGGACGTCCCTGGAGCAGTTCACCACTTGCTGGGACTCGTCTGCTCTTATAGGCTCTGGGCACAGGTGCAGGGAATGCTCTGCGGGAGCTGTCGCCAGGGCACTTCCATCCTGCTCATCAGAGGCACCAACCCTGGAAGCAGAAAGAGCTCAGGCCATATAGACAAGCAATGGCCTCCAAGGCCTGCCTACTGCCAGCCCAGGCCCTGGGCCCCAGGCTCCTCCTGAGAGAGGGTTCCTTGCCGTTCCCCTGTTCCCTCCAACCGCCAGCATTTCCCAGATGACCCTCACTCTGCTGGGAACCAAGGAGAGTTCACCTGGTTGAGAGCCGCTTAGGGCTGTGGTAGCCCAGAGGTGACGTCACTTTGACGAGCATGGCATCCTCCAGGAAGACCTCGTCATCGGGAAGGGAGGGGAGCTGGGAGGATGCAGCGCAGGTCTCCAAGTCAGCAGTGCTGCTGGGGCGCACCTCCACTGGAGAGGTGGCTGCAGGCTCCTTCTGAGGGGAGAACCTGGGGGCAGGGGCTTCGCACCCACCATGGTGACTGGGAAGGTTCTTCGAGCTACACCAGGGAGACAAGCAAGCTCAAGGTTTGCAAGAGGGAAGGCTGGCACCTGCTCCTTCCTGGAGCTGCGAAGGCTGCCTTGCCCAGCTTGGTCCCCAGGGTGGGTTCTGATCTCTTACCTGGAGACTGTAGTCTGAGACAGCAGCCTAGGGGTTTCTGCTCCTGGGGGAACAGTCTAGAAAGGTGGACAGCAGGAATCTTCAACATCCCACGAGCTCAGTCCCCAACCAACCCGTGTCCCTGTATCTACCATACCTGGATGACGGACATGGTCCCTCCTGGACCTCCCCAGGGACCCAAGACTTCGCCTGAAGTACTCCGACTGTGACTAGTAGGCCGGTAGGCCAGGGCCAGCTTCTGGGACCCCGAATCAGCTGGACCTTCTTGCTGCACCTCGGGTCGCCCAGTGCATGCAGTCAGCTCAGGCCCAGTGAGGTGGGCCTCACCTAAGCACTCCCTGGACGCCCCGCCGGCCCGTCCCAGGTGATCCAGCTTCCCGGGTTCCGAGAAGCACCACTTCCGCTGCTGGCTGGCAAGGCGCTCCGGAGTGGCGGGTCGCGGCGTGGAGGGAGCTGGCCAGCGTGGCCGCTCCGCCTCCCCACCAGGGTGGCTGAGCGAGGCGGAGCGCGAGTGGGCAGTGGGCGACTGTGCAGGGGCCGCGGGCCGCAGGCGGGCGGGCAGGCTCATGCGCAGCTCCTTGCGCTGGAAGGACGTCTCCCGCAGCACCCGCCGCTGCGCACCCTGCAGACGCTGGCGGTAGGCGGCCCGCGAGGCCGGTGGGCTGGGCGGCTCCACCGCACGCGCCGCGGCCTCCGCCTCGGCCGCCAGTGCATACAGCAGCGGCGTGGCCTGCCTGCTGAGAGGCCCTAGCGGCCCCTGCCCTTCCGGGGGTCGCAGCCCACTGCGCGCCGCAACTGCGGGTCGAGGCCGCGAGGCAGGGCGCAGGCCGGCATCGGGAGGGCTGGGGCCCGGGCTGCCCCACACCACTCGCACGTAGTCCCAGTCCAGGTAAGGGAGCGGACTGGGCCCGGGTGATGGTGTGCGTGGCTCGGGGCCGCCTGAGGCCGCGGAGAAAGAGCTATAGGCAGAGTCGGCGTGCGCAGATAGCCGCAGATCCAGGCTTCCAGTGGGTGAGGCTGGGGAGGCACGGTCATCCCCAGGGCTCAAGGTCTCCATCCGTGAGCAGATAAGTGCTGGAACTAGCAGGCTCCGAGGGCCCTAGAAAGACAGCAACCGGCTGGTGAGTTAGGATGGCCTGCTGGGCTCTGCACCACCAGTCAGGCCCAGCATTGTGGCTGAGTCACCACAGCCTGGGAAGTCAGCAAGACAAAGCCGCAAGGAGCAACTTTGCTGGGAGGGATCTTAGCAATGCACTGTTAGCAGAGCAGTGGGGCCTCTACCCTGCTGACCCCCTGCAGTGCCCAGGGCCTGCCCAGGCTGCTTCCTGGCAGCCCTGCCAGCTTCACCCTGGGATCTTGCCTTGGTAAACAATGGTGGAGGAACCTTTTGAAGTGCCAGAGTGCCAAGGAGGGGGTTGGTGGTGGCGAAGCTCCTCCCGCCCAGGGCCAGCTCTGCAGCCCACCCCCTCAGCCCCTGCAGCCTCGCAGGCATTTATTTCATCTACAGAGCTGCCTGGATGTTCACAGTGCTGCCCGCCTTTGGCAGGCAAGGACCCTGAGGTGCGGGAGGCGTTGTGGTGGGCCTGACTTGTGCGGGAGCTCACCGCTAAGCACCTGGAATCAGCAGCTGCGCACTTCTGCACTGGAACCGCTGTGAGAAAGTTGGCCTCTGTCTCCCTGCAGGTTCCAGAACAATGTGGGGGTGACCTGCTGCCACCTCCCCTTTTCGCTGCTTCTCCTACAGGACTCTGCTTAGAGGTCTGCTGGCCTTCTGAGATCTCCACCGGGCACAGAGCTTGTCCGGTTCGGTTCCAGCATCGCTGACCCTGGAAGGTCCTAGCTGGCCTGCCTGGGAGTCCCTCTGCCCACCCTCAGCCCTGGCCTGTCCAAGGTTGGGCTTCTATACACCAGTGTACACTCCATGCTGACCCAGCACTGGCATGTGGTGAGAAAGTGTTTGCTGGGTAGTAAGGGAAGGAAAAGACTTAGAGGGAGTGAGGCAGGGGTGGCATTTTGGGAGAGAGGGTGAAGGTTCCCCATCAGCTGCCACCCTCTGCCATCCCTATTAGTAATCTTTTCTGGGGAACAGGATGGGTCAGGCACCAGTTATGCATCCAACGTGGGGACAGACAGAGCAGGGAAGCACAGCGGGGAGATGGGGTCAGTGTGAGAGCAGCTGCGAGCGCCCCCTGACCTGTGGGGAGGATGGCATGCTCTCCCTAAGCTGCTTGCAGGACAGCATGGAAGGTGGGGACCAAAGGGCCCAGCCTCCTGGACCCTGGGGCTCGTGTCCATACAGTCCGGTTGTACCAGAAAGACAGAGCATTTCCTAAAAAGGAGAGGCGGTGGGACTGGTGCTGTGGCACAGCGAGCAAAGCCTCTGCTTGCAGAAGGGCAGACAGGCGTCCCTCCATTTCCAAAGCAACTCCCTGCTAATGCACTTGGGAAAACAGTAGGGCGTGGCTCAGGTCTCATAGGTTTTTTGTTTGTTTGTTTTTATTACAAAGTCAGATATACAGAGAGGAGGAAAGACAGAGAGGAAGATCTTCCGGTCTGATCATTCACTACCCAAGGGAGTGCAATGGCCGGTGCTGTGCTGATCCAAAGCCAGGTGCCAGGAACTTCCTCCAGGTCTCTCACATGGGTGCAGGGTCCCAAGGCCACAAGCAGGAAGGTGGATGGGAAGTGGAGCTGCTGGGACTAGAACCGTGTCCACATGGGATCCTGGGCATTCAAGGTGAGGACTTTAGCCGGTAGGCCACCGCCCAGAAGGGATTCATCTTGACCTCCCCTCCCCCAGGGCGGTGGCCCTTGCAGGAAGGCTGGGAGCCTCTGGAAAGTGTCCCTACTCTCCAGACTTCCAGAGAGCCAGTGAGCAGCAGCTCTGCAGGTCATCACCCAGGAGGGAGGTTGCCCATCTGCGCAGACACCAGCCTTCTCTGTCTAGGCCTTCTGGGCCTGCCCTTGGAGCACCTCTTCCCAGGCTGCCCGTGCTGGGTTGCCGCAGCTTCGGGCAGCAGTGACCAGAGACACAGATGCTTGGGAGACTTTGGAAAGCGTGGCTGTGAGTCACAGTAACCTCAGACAGCTGTCTCTTTATCTACCCTGACGTGTGTTAGGAATCCCAGCACAAAGAACCACAAGTTCTCAGACTGCTGTTGTGCACCTCCAGCCCTGCCCCCGCAGGGCACAGCTCACTGGACAGCAAGCCCTGGTGGCTGCAGGCTGCATGCCCTAGCCTTAGTGGGCCAGACTACAGCCCTTTGGAAAAGCTCTTTAGGGAACTGGCACCGTGGCACAGTGGATTAGGCAACAGGAGTTGCTGGGATCCTATATGAGTCCAGGTTGCTCCACACCCATCCAGCCATCCAAGCTCCCTGCTCAAGTGCCTGGGAAAGTAGTGGAGGAAGGCCAAGTGATGGGAAACCAGGTTGAAATTCCTGGCTTCAGTCTGACCCAACACTGACAGCTAATTGGGGAATGAGCCAGTAGATGGAAAGTTTCTGTCTCTAACTTTCAAACAAAAAATAGCTTAAAAAAAAAAAAAAAACCTCTGCAGGGGCAGCCTGGAGCCCCAGTTAACAAACCAGACGGGGGTGCTCAGGCTGGGGGTTGTGCTCCCCAGGCACCTGTCACTGCAGTGAAGGAGCAGCCAGGATGAGGAGACAAAGCTTAGGTTCAAACAGTCCAGAACTATGAGTCTGGCGAGAGAGCTGTGACCTGGGACTGGCGAGGGTTAGCCGTGTGCCCCTGACAAGCTGGGGGAGATGCAAGCCAGTTTCTGGTGGATAGCTTCCCCGCCCTCCAGGGCTCTAGGAGCACGGCCAGGTGTGAAATCTGGAGGGCAACAAGCAGCTTCAGATGCTGCGGAACCAGCTCGAACCTCCATCCAACCACCACTCACACCTGACCCCTCTGCGGGCGGTCCGGTTCCACTGCCCCACCCGCGGGGTCTTTTCGCATCCCTGGCCTCCCAGGGGAGCCATCCGGAATCTCAGCTCCTTATGAGCGGCTGGTTTGCGGGTTCCCGCGGACCGCGCAGAGGTGCGGGTCTGGCGGCGCTGGGCAGGGGCGCCCGCGGGTGGACGGACCGCGGCCGTGGGGCCTGAAGCTGCTGGAGCCGGGGGCGCGAGCCAGTAGAACGCCGCAGGCCTTGGCGACCGCAGGGGGCGGCAGAGTCGCGCGGAGCCCGGAGAGCGCGGGTGGCCGCGGACCCGCGCTTTTCTCGGCCTTTCCTGTTGAATTCACCGTCGGGGGAAGGAGGGCTCAGCACGGGAGGGAGGGTCTCGCCTCTCCCGCTGCTCCGCGACCGAAGGGTAGGAGCAGGGACACACGCTGGAAACCCCAGTGCGCGGTGGCCCCAAGCGGCTCCCCTGCAGCGGCGCCAGCTGGGTGGGTCGGTGTGGTCCCCCGGTCCCGCAGCAAGAGTAAAGGAGCGCACGGCGCAGTCACACTCGGCGGGGAGTCAGACCCCGGGCCGGACGGCACACCCGCCGCCCGGCTCCCCAGGGCGGCCCTTTTTCCTCCTCCCGGGAAGCGTGGACCCCGCCCTGCGCCCCGGCTCCCGACCCCGCCGCGTACCTGAGGCTCCAGCTGCAGCCGCGCTCCCGGGCGCCGCAGCCAAGTGGTGACATCAGAACCCACGGCTCCGGCTCCCGACCCCACCTCCAGACCCGGGCCGCCGCGGCAGGGGAGGCGCCACGTCCGACCCTAGGGGCGGGAGCGTCTGCCCGCCGGCCACCGGCGGGAGGCTGGGGGAGGGAGAGGTGCACCCTTTGTCTGCCCGCTGGGCACAAGCCCGTGGCCCCAGGCCTGAGAAGCAGGAGCGCCGGGGGTGGGAGGGCCGGCGGCCCCGGGGACCGCCCACCGGGGACCGCGCGCCTCCGCAGCGCGGGCCCGGGTCTCCGGAGGCCCTGACACCGCCCCTTCTCCGGAAAGTCCACGCTGGGAACTCGGGAACACCAGGTCTCTCTTTCCCTTTCCAATGCCACTAAGCCAGGATCCTCGCGCCCCTGGACCAACTTTCTTTCCAGACCCTCTCACTTCCCGAGCCTTCCCAGCTCCTGGAATCCCACCTCGGGCGTTTATCCCTGGTTCTTGCCGGCTTTTCTTCCCGTTTCTGCCGTGGTCCAGGGCTAAAGGCCCTGCCTGGGGGAAGGGAGTCTGCGGACTTGCGGGTTCACTCCGCTGGCCTGGGAGCGGCTCCTTTGAGACCTGCGCACAGGCCCCGCGGCTGGAATCTCTCGAGCCTTTCCCTCCCCCGACCTCCGAGCTCCAAAGACTGGCTCGGCTGTCTGTGCTGCTGTGCCCTGTCCCTTGCCCTGACACCAGGCTCGCTGCTTTCCAAAACCACGATCTGTAAGTCAGACCCTGTCGAGACCGGCGCCATTTCTGCAAGGATTTACAGGGGTCCCTCGCCGCGCTCCCCGAACCCCGCCCACTGGGTCCCTCTGTCCTGTGCTGCCCTTAATCACTCCCTGGATCTACTTGCCTGTGTGGCTGCCCTTCTGTCCCTAAAGGAAAAATGAAGGGCCACTCATACTCAGATGTATCTATTTCCTTTGCTTGTTTTGTCTTAGAGTATTGCCTCCTTGCTGACCTGTAAGATTTGTCTATACATTAAGGAATTCACACTTTCTCTGACATGTGGCATATGTTTTCCAAAGTTTGAGCCTTTTTATTTACGTACTTTCTGTTTTAAGATCTATTTATTTGAAAGGCAGAGTTAGAATCTTCCAGTCACAGGTTCACTGTCAAGCTAGTTGCAACAGCTAGAGGTCAGCTAGACAAAACCAGGAGCCAGGAGCACACGGGGTTGCATGGCTCTGAGCATTCGGCCTGTCTTCCATTGCTTTTCCATTAGCGGGGAGCTGAATTGGAAGTGGTGCAAGCAGGACTTGAACCAGCGCCCATAAGGGAGAACTTTACCTGCTATCCCACAATTCGGCCCCTATTATTTCCTTTTATTTGAAAAGCAGACAGATGTGGGGAGTAGGCCAGACTGTGTGGATGGCACCACTTGCCTTCCAGGTACTCATTAGCCACAAGCTGGAATCAGAGGTGGAGCCACAGGTTGAACCTAGAGACTCA